GTTCTGCAATTCCACGTAGGAATTGATGGCTGCCTTTGAGGAGGAAGCCGCACAAACGAGTCGACCACGCCTGCTACTCACGGCTGCGGTTGCGGCTGGGAGGGGAAACATTGACAATGGTTATGAGATTGACCGAGTGTCAAAGTGAGTCCTCTTGTCTTCCTCCTCTTGGGACCTTTGGTCACAACAAAATGTTCTGTGGTGTCGAGCAGCTTTCTAGACTTCATCAATGTGATGACCTATGACTTCCACGGAGCGTGGGACCCCATCACTGGTCACAATAGCCCCCTGTACCGCGCCTCTTCCGATCAAGGGGAGAACATCTACTACAACGTGGTGAGTGCCATTTTCACACCGGCCCTCAATTCCAACCTGCAAATCCAACACGTTGTAGGCAAACAAACTCGTTTCTGTCGCCCTTCCTCAAGGATTTTGCAATGAAACACTGGCGAGATCAAGGAGCTCCGCTTGACAAGCTCAACCTTGGTTTTGCGACATACGGACGCACATTTCGTACAGTTTCAGCAGCTCATGGCGTTGGCGCACCTGCCTCCGGAGCAGCCCCGGCTGGGAGTTACACACGTGAAGCTGGCTTTTGGTCTTACTATGAGGTCGGTCAACATTCACCACACATGTTTGATCACTGTCATCAGTCACCAAGAATCATGATAATTTTTTTTTTTACGATTAAACCTAAATCCATCCACTCTCTAGTTATATAAATGCTGACCTTCTCCAAGACCACCCGAAACATGCTTTTTTTTTGTGGGGGGGCATCCTATTATCGTATAATTGCACATCCACTTCAGTAGGTGGCAGTGGAACTCTCATTGTCAGAGTGTGCGCAGGGAGTATTAGTTCTAAAGTGTACACTGAAAAGACTCCATTTTATTTTCTCAAGTGGCTGCAAACAATAGTATCATCTGGATTTTGATACATTTTTCAAGTAGAGGTATAGTCTACTTTAAATTTTGAAAATGTTCAAAATTTGTTCTTCGCGACAAAAAAAAAAAAAACTGAGACCATTAAAATTGTTGGCGAACTACGACCTTGAATGAACCCTGACAAAAAAAACACCCATTCGCTCCGTGCTCAGACACTCACAAACCTTTTTCACTCATTGAGAGACATTCTTTGGAGTATGTTCAAAAGGTTTGCAGCGAGAAAAACAATTTTCAACTGCTTGCAACCTTTTAGGCAAAAAGGCAATGTTCGCTACGTGCTCACACACTCGCAAGAAGTGGCGGCTCAGCGAGATACGGGCTTCAACCATGTGGAAAGCCTTCCCAGAAAAGTTGAAGCTGTTCCAGCCGTTATAGGGTGGACGAAGACGACTAGATGCGGGCAGGAGAAATACTGTAGTTGTGTGTGCTATCATTGTTTTTGTGGACCTCAGACAACTTTATCTTGGCGGGTATGTTTGAGTAGGGACTCTGCATTTTTCAGCATTCCAATATTTGGAACCGCACGACAAAAACCACTCCCCAAACTTTGCCGTGCCGACTCCCATGCAGTCTGACTGAAAGGCTCCTATGCCGGCCGTCGCATATGCAATTACAACAAACCCGGTCACTTGCCCTAGTGGAGATTGTTTTCACGGATTGTTAATTTCATCTCAACAGATCTGCACGTTCCTCAGTAGTGGAGGAACTCTCAGCTGGATCGAGGAACAGAGGGTGCCATATGCCACTCAAGGCAATGAGTGGGTTGGCTTTGATAACAGGCGGAGCTTTGAAATCAAGGTAATAAATGGCCTTCTTCCATGAATGCTGAAGTTGATGGACTCATTGGTCATGTTTGTACGTTGCCTGTGTTGCTGGAGACACGGCCGCTGCTTTGTGCCAACTGGCCTCATCGAGCCAAGTAGAGAAAAAGTTTGGCCTTTACAAAGATAATAATCTTCATTTTGGACGGACACTACGTGTTCCTTACAGCATGTGGCTGTGTATCATTCCTACAAATGCTAATGAGGTGCCATTAGGTTCAACTGTTCCTTTATTTCCATGAAACACTGTTACAACCAAGAAATGATTTACCAAATACAAATGTCCAGATTTTTCCTGCGTTGTTTCCGTTCCCATTCAGTTCAAAAAGCTTTTGCTCAAATCCATTTGAAACTGACGCTCTCTACCACTCAATGCTGTCTCCCAGACGCAGTACCTGAAAGAGGAAAACTTTGGTGGGGCTTTTGTCTGGGCTCTGGATCTTGATGATTTTACTGGAGAGTTCTGTGGACAAGGAAGCTATCCACTCATCCGTTACCTGCGCGATCTTCTGGGTTCAGGTCTGAAATTCGTGGCAAGAAAAAAAAAATTGATCTGCCAAACAAGTCAAATATCTTGTGACTAATCGCTTGGATGATAATCTACTTCATCTGGGTAGCTTTCCCAACAACGCCGCTGTCACCCACAATGCCAGCAGGGACCACGGCTGGACCAACTGAAACCACAATGGCACCGGAGTTCCCAATGACGACAAAGACCACAACCGCACCCTCTCCGAGCACAATAGCGCCAGAGACCACCGCTGCACCAACCACCACAACTATCGCATCTGGAAGTGGCTTCTGTGCCAACAAGGCTGACGATCTGTACGAGAATAGTAATGACAAAAACTCCTTTTATCAGTGCTTCCAGGGCCGCACCTTCATCCAGAAATGTCCTGCTAATCTTGTTTTCAACAACAAATGCAAGTGCTGTGATTGGCCAAAATAAACATGAAATCATTGCCTTGCTCAAACAGCACAGTTTGTTTTGGGGTTTTTTTGTTGTTGTTTTTAAGGGGACTATATGCAAACACCATCACAATGCTTTCTGTTTATGGCGACAACATCAATAAAATACCTGTGCCGCATCCTCTGTACAGTGCCTTGTCTGTAGATATTTTTAACCTGACTGTCATTAAACCAAATCGTTAGTCAAGTGTTTCTATTTTTTGGGGAGTGTCCCTTTACCATTTTCTGTCACAGTTTTTGGTCATGCCGATTGCACACTCACCTCACGCCAGGCAAGGAAGACATCCCTGCCATTTTAGGCACATGCAACAACACCAGGCATGCCAATAATACCCAGCCAACTTGTTTTGCTTGAGAAATAAAGTTGAATTGAGGTGAGACAGCAACCTCATCAGGCTATGGCATTAAAAAATAAATAAAAAGAAGATAATGAAATGTGTGCGACTACAGTAAGTAATAGTGATTACTGTAAGTGCAAGTTAAAGGGGGAGTTTGCAATTAAAAAAAACATGTAGTGGTGCTATACATTTACAAACCCAATTCCAATGAAGTTGGGACATAATGTTAAGCATGAAGAAAAACAGAATAATCATTTGCGAATTATGTTCGAGCTATATTTCATTGAATACACTACAAAGACAAGAAACAAAATCTTTAACTTACCATTTTATGGCTGCAACACCTATGAAAAAAGTTGGGGCGTGGGCATGTTTCCCATTGTGTTGCATCACCTTTTGTTTTGACAACATTCAATCAACGTTTGGGAACTGAGGACACCAATTGTAGCTTTGAAGATAGAATTCTTTCCCATTCTTGCATGATGTTTGGCTTCAGCTTTTCAACAGTCCGGCGTCTCCGTTGTTGTATTTGACTCTTCATAATGTGCTACGCAGTTTCAATGGGACACAGGTCTGGACTGCAGGCAGGCCAGTCTAGTACCTGCGCTCTTTGACTATGAAGCCACGCTGCTTTAATACGAATGGAATCTGGTTTGGCGTTGTCTTGCTAAAATAAGCGGGGGCGTCCATGAAAAAGATGTTGCTTGGATGGCGGCAATCAGTCTACATCCTTCAGCATGAATGGTGCCTTCACAGATGTGAAGAAGTTACTTTTCTAGACAATCGTACACCTGTTCCCCGTTCTAGTTTTTTGATCCATTGTAGCAAGTTCTGTCATGGTGGTTGGATTATTGCTGGGAGCTTCTAAGTGCTGCATCATTTTGTGATTTTGCTGGTTTGTGATGATGTTTGACCTGATAGTTTGTAGTTTTACACTAAAGTAGCAAGCAAATTCACTGCAACGATCTATTGAGAGACGTTCTGGTGCTATTTCAATTTTGGAGCCCTGTGAGATTGTTGACCACAGCAAACGGAGTGCAGGTTCTTGCGAAATATTTCAGAAAAGTGTTGCTGGCTAGCTTTTACTAACTCTTGGTTACATTTACAAAGACATTGTCTGTACAGGTCAAAATGAACTTGGAGTTGAGTTTTTCCTCCACTTACGCATCAGTTTCCTAACATGAGATTTAACTGCCAAAATAACATTTACTAAAACTACACTCCCACTTTATCGTGCGGTGATCACATTTCCACCACTTATTGCTAATCATACACACCCACCAATTTAGGTTGCTGACAACAAGATCTGCTATAAAAATCAGAGGTGCCGGAAAAAGGCCAGGCACGGAACCAGGATTTTTTTTCTCTCCTGGGGCTGCGGGGGTTCGGGATGGGATCTCAAAAGAATTGATTTTCCTCACTTCATTTTCTTTATTTTCTCATTTTGTCAATGAAAAAGCATGATAAACAGTAAAGGCATGCTCTGTAAAAAAACATTTTGAACTGAATTTAGACAAAAGAGGTTCAACCAAATAGTTAAGAATATAATACAAGTGGTCGCGAGGCAAGGGCAAAATCTTGACCCTAAAATGCTGGTACAGTAAATGAAAGACGATGTCTTTCTTTGGTCGAACATGACTACGTTCTCCCCAGTGTGGCCCCAATTGACAAAAGTCACACCCACCACCAGGGGTGTCCAAACTCGGGACTTCAAGGGCCCCTGTCGTGCCTGTTTTCAATGTGTCCCCACTGCAATACACCCGATTCAAAAGATCAGCCTTTCAGGATTCTTCACAACTTGCTGATGAGCCGATTATTTGAATTGGATGTGTTGCAGCAAGGACACATCGAAAACAAGCATGACAGCGGCCCTCGAGGACCGGCGATGGACATGGCTGCTCATCACACACTCTCCAATGTTCAAGGGTTTTTTGTTTTTTTGTTTTGTTTTTTTTGCCTTTTGGCAAACATGTATTTGGGAGCCCCTTAGTGGTGACATATTGAAAACATGATCCCAAACAAACAAGGTCCATTTGTGTATTTTCCAGCCATTCAGCCACAAATAAAACATTCACGAATTTGAATCAATTATGACATGACAGCACTTGCACAGAAAGCAGCATTCACATTTCCTGACAAAGCTACAGTGCATCAGTCATAACGCATTGACTTTAAGACATTGTCACCTTGTGAACATCATCAAAATGAAGCACCTTGATCCATATCTGCATCGTTTTGTCCTCAGGGTATGATATTGATGTTCCATTAGGTTAGAGTTCATGGACAGAAGTGTGAGGCTCAGGAAGTTTGTCAATGTCACAGTTTTGGATCAATCTGGAGTAGAATAGAACAAGCTCCTCGTAGTTCTTTTTGGAAATCCTTTCATTAATGCCATGAAACCTAAGAAATAGGAACAATACACTCCCTTTAAATCTTTGAGGGTGGGTGGGTGACTCATTGTATAGTTTTTGTTGACAATGTTCATATCTTTCAGTCATCAGTCAAAAGCTTTGTTATGTTTCTATTCTGCCTTCTTACCTTTTTGCATCCCCTGGTTTAAACCACAAAGGGGCAAAGCGGTAAATGCCGTTGGTCAGATCTTTGAAGTGTCGACTGTCTGTGTTCCCAACGCAAATGCCTGCACATTCAAAGATTGAAATACACCATTGTGGGCTGCTGGGTGTCCCGTTTCAATCTGCCACTTACCTGGAGCAACTGTTACTGTCGGAAACATGTCCAAAACCGTTTTCTTGATAATCTGGAAGCCGTACGAGTTCTCATCAGATGAACTGACAGGCAAAGGATCGAAGCCCTCGATAAGCTCCATCTTCACACGCTCGTCCCCGACTGTAAACTTGATGAGGTCCAAGACCTCGAAGGAAAAAAACAGTCATTCCATTTGATGCCGAAAGCACCTGATGGAACAAATTGGACACAATACCTCTTGTAACGACTGCGCTGAGTGGATTCGTAGATTCACATAGGCCTCAGCATGGGAAGGAATGACATTCGACTGCAAAAAGAACAAAACATGTGGAACAGGTTCTGAGAATCACTCTGAACGACTTCAATCTAAGTTCCTATTACTTTACCTTTACACCTGCATGAAAGATTGTGACTGCCGTAGTAGTCCTTACAAAGGCATTGGAATCAGATTTTTGTTCAAGAAACCTGCGCCACAAAACATGCTCGTTTTTTACAAAGGTACAACAACAAAACAAAAAAAAATGATGAATACATGGGTGGAAGTGATTACCTGCCAACAAGTGGTGAAAACAGCCACAAATTTGATAGGATGAACTTCAATGGCAGCCCAAACTAAAATCACCAAACGCAGCTTTCATCCACATGAAAGTTGAGCAAGTAGTTTAATTGAAATGTACCTTGTGAGCTAGCTGCTCAAATGTTTGACGTTCCGGTCCATGACCAAATAACATGGGCATGGGGTTGTCCTCCAGTCTGAGCAATAGCAGTCTTTAAGAAATCAGTGCGCAAAAATAGAACCATACACAAAAAAAAAAGATGAGTGGCAAAACCTTTTGACTGCTGCAGCTAAGATGCCAATGCTGCTCTCCCTGGCAGGCATCGACGCATGGCCGGGCAGAGTGGACACACTCAGCTTGACAATGGCGAGGCCCTTCTCACTGACACCGATTCTACGACAAGACATGTGATATCATTAGATTTTAATGTGATGTTTTCCCTACAAAATACTCCGTTTTATAACATGTTGATTCGATGACACGCCGAGGCAGATGCTGTATAACGTGTTGTTTTCAACGAGTTCCCGTTTCTCAGGAGCCATCGGACTTCATTTCTCATAGGTGGGGCCAGATGGCTCCTGTTTCCCAGGACCGGCCTCATGACAACATAACAGAATTGCGTGAGAAAGAGTTGTTCAGCATAATAGTTTGTGAAACGCCAGTTGATAACGAAGCAAGTGTGGCGCCAGAAGGGCTGAGTTGGCTACTCACCCCTTCTTTCGCACACGCTCAGAGAAGGATAAGAGGAGGCTTTGCCGTCCCCTTGCTAGAGTCTGCTGAGGGTTGCGTACGGACGCCCAGCTGGTATTGAAGCTCACTCTACCAAGGGTGTTGGCTCTCCACCCTATTGGCGCACGGTAAGAGTTGATTCATTTCTTTGTAGCTTAATACCTCGCTTGCTGTTGAATGATTGTGTGACATATTCTGTGGGGCTAATAAACGTGCAATTTGTTAGTAGCAGATTTGTCTCTTGTGATTCTGATATTTGCTTGTGTGACATATTCTGTGGGGCTAATAAACGTGCACTTTGTTAGTAGCAGATTTGTCTCTTGTGATTCTGATATTTGCTTGTGTGACATATTCTGTGGGGCTAATAAACGTGCAATTTGTTTGTAGCAGATTTGTCTCTTGTGTTTCATTTCTGAGTGCCTATCTCCAACGACCCTATTCTAAATTTGATACTGAGCCAGGGCGAGGTATCAGAAATGTTTTAAAACAACATGTCAGTCCATCATTTATGTGCGTATGGTCGGAAAAAGTTTCATAGTGACGCTGCCTTTCTCACAAAGCCGCGGGTCCGTTGAGACCGCTGACGACTCCATCGAGCACGGCAAGCCCCTCGTCCAGCACAAAGGACAGGCGCACATTGCGCTGCTTCAACACTCGTACGATGTTCATGGCTCCCTGGTGACCGCTAACCTTCCAGAGACACAAAAGACAACCACTCCATTCTGACTCTGGACGTTGCCAGCGTGCTTATGGAAAGGTAGGTTTACTTCTTCATCATGGCCGAGACCAATGTAAAATCCTCTCTGCGGCGCATAGCCTTTCATCAGCAAGTATTCCAGGGCCTGAAGTATACCCTGGAAGAAGACATTAGAAAATAATGGTGAGGGCTGCACACGGTAGAGCAACAAAGTTCCTGCCAAAGATGCACACGAGGGCCCAAATCACGTGGATTGTGGAGTATGTCTCGTAATGGCCAACACACAACAAGACATTCCACCAAGACCTTAGTCTTCTTTTTTCAGTGGAGGTCAGTCATCATTCATGTTCTGCCACCCGGACGTCTCCTGGTGATTCCTGTTGACAAATAAACATTCTGAACTGGGGGATTTTCTTACCATCAGAGAGCTCTTGTCATCCATCGTCCCTCGGCCGTAGATGAAACCGTCTATCTCTTGGCCAGAAAAAGGCGGCGTCACCCAGCCATCGGACTCAGTGGCGGGTACCACATCGATATGAGCCAACAGCAGGTACGGCAGCAGTTGGGGTTGCAACCCTGGGACCCAAAACAGGTGGCTGTAGTTGGCCACCACTTCATGGTGTACCAAGCTTGAGGTAAAAAGGGTCGGGAAGGCTGGCGAGGCAAGAGAAGAACACGGAGAGGGCTGAAACGACTGTGGCTCCTTTGTCTTTTCCGCCCGAGTGAGGAAAAACGGCAGTTGTTCACTGGCCATTACGCGCAAAAGAAGTGCAATCGATACATTTGACTCCATTCAATTGGAGTGATGTGCACCTAGGAGACCCGGTGACAAGAGTTAAAGTTGTGTCGATTTAACATGTTGCGGCAGTAGCTCATCTCTCAGTACTTCCTTTTTGGAACCTGAAGGTGACATCTTAAGTCCTGCTTTGGACAAAATGTAAAATAGCAACTTGACGAAAAGTTTGGATAAAACAGTTGACGTTTTTGGCACATTGCTAAAGTCCATCATAATTCCTAACCAAACAATTCTGAAAATGAGTCAATATATAGTGGCACATCGATTGACGGCAGCAACATAATGACAGGCAGAATGTTGCATGTTTTTTTTCATTTTTTTTAAATGAAAATTCCCTTGCATTAGATGGCAGAAGGCCAGAAAAATGGCCTGTCACTTGTATGGCACTTTTTGACCTTAGGTACTCAAAGCGCATTAAAACTGTCTCCTCATTTTACCGACTGATGACACAGCATCAGGAGCAACATGGGGGTTCAGTATCTTGCTTGGGAATACTTTAACGTGGTCAGAAGGGTTGAGGATCGAGCCCACAACCTTCAGGTGGGAGACAAGACAACCACTCATCCATTGAGCCATGCCGCTGCTGTTGTTGTTGTGAAGTCACCCAAGGCGCCTCAGGATAATCCTGATGCTGCTGTTGACTTTTATGGAGGGTGCAGCGTCAGGACAGGAAAACTCGTAAAACAGAAAGAGGTATTATGCCCCCATCAAAATAAACATGAGCGTCATATGGAGGGTCATCAATTAGTTACAAGAAAAAAAAATGCAAAATACTTTTTTTCCCTCAATACGTGAACATGTAAAAGTATGACTTTGTGGGGAAGATGCTCAGGTGAATATCTTACCTAAGCTGGGCTACAAGATGGCACCTGTCACGCGAGCTGGCCACTCTCTTTATATAAGCACTGGTGCAGGTGAAACATGCCCGCTACCCTGTGGCTAAAACTGGTATTACATCTTTCAATGGCTCGGCAATGGTATTTTTTTCCCCCTTAAAATGAATGGATGGCTACTCTGGTTGGCTCAGGCCAACAGTTGCCCGTTCCTGAGCAAACATATTGTAATATCCGTTTCTTGTTAATTGTGTATTTGAGGGCTGGGTTAGTTGAGTAGGGGGTGACGTCATAGAGAGTGGACGAGCCAGGTTGAGGAGTCAGTTTGAGTGTTGAGTGCATGGGTGCGAGTTGTGGCCAATAGCAACTCCTGTGAATGTGTTTTAATTGCTGCCTTTTTTGTTTATTTAAAAAGCCAACAGATTGCATCATCGACTGTGTGCATCCTTGACCACATTGAAGGGCATTACAATATTAATCAATGGTAGGAAATGTGTGTATTTTTTGCGTATCAACCTTTGATCTGATTTCAAATTAAGATAATAGTTACACATCTATTCAACAAATCTTTGCCAATGTGATTTGTCACAGGCCTATTATTTTGAGATTGGCATGAATCCGTCATCATATAGCTACGTCGTGTTATTTAAAATGTGTGTGTGGCTTGTGCGATTGGGGTCGTAATCCCTTGGCCGTGGATTTAGATGCCCCTTGACAACATTTTCCATTTTGTTGTACAAAACCAAAACTGAAGTCTCGTGTAATTTCATTACCGTCAAAATTTGTTTACTTGAGCGTACTTATTGTGTACATACTGATGTTGATAATCCCCGGCCACTAGGTCAAGTATTTATGTCGGTGCCTGTTGTGCGATTGTGAGCTGGAGTTGTGTCCTTGTGACTTAGCTTATAGCTAGTTGTGTGCTTTGCTTTGTAAAGGGGTGCGCGGTGTTACCTCTCCGGAGAAACGAGTTGAAATGAAGCAGCGCAGTGGTGTTGCTCTCCGTGGGTGAAAATGACACCGTGGGGATGCGTACGGCCTCTGAAGGAAGATGAGGCAAAGCAGCAAACCGGTAAAGTGGACTATCCTCCACTTTGCTTTTTGGACGTACCTTGAAAGTGGGCGAGGAGTTCCTCCCGCTTCCGCTGGTCGATATCAAGCGAGATGAGGTTCGGTGTTTCCCAGTGTGCGAGTTGAAGTCCGCCAACATTCCCGTCCAGTGTCAGCGTTCTGATCGACGCTATCGTAAACAAGATGAAAACAGCAGCGAATCCACCAGCTATGAGAAGCTTCACACATTTGATCACCATGACCGTGATCTGGGGAACAACGGTGTATGTAACTCCTGAAGTTGAATGGCTCTGTCAAATGGTTCACAATGCGTACAAAAGTCAACTGCAGGGGTCAACAACTTCCCCCCGCCACACACAATACAGTTAGCTGAGTCCACACGCATGCGTGAATGATGACGTCACACCCCGTGCCCCGTTAAAACAAAAATAAAACGTTAAATCGAAGCGTTCAGATTAAAACTACGCAAGAGTATTGCTGCCACACCAGGAAAGGAAAAAAACACGGCACTAATGTAAAAATGTGATAATTATTATGTAAAAATGTGATAATTATTATGTAAAAACGTGAACATTATCATGTATAAACATGATACTTTTCATGTATAAACGTGAAAATTGTCACGTAAAATCCTGTTTATATTATGTAAAAACTTAAAAAATACAAAATGTGACAAAGCTGGCCTCGTGGAGGACTCCCCAATTTCTGTTGTGACCGATGTCCCATGCTGCAGCAGGACGCAGATGCATGCATATGCTTCTAAATGCAATGGCACTAAACCTGGAATTACTGATCATTTTATGAAATTGCCGTGTGCCAGAAGAGTTCCTTATACATATGGAACAAGGACACCTAAGTGTATTTTTCAATCCATTCATCCATTTTCCGATCCACTTATCCGCACAAGGGTCGCGGGGCGTTGGAGCCTATCGTGTATTTTAACATTGCCCGTTATTAGGTTTTTACATTTTTTTTTCCACATTTTTACATAAGTATCACGTTTTTACATGATCATTTTCACTTTTTGACATAAGTATCGCATTTTTACATGATAGTTTTCACGTTTTTACATGATACGTGTCACGTTTTTACATGAGAAATGTAATGTTTTTTCCCCTGGTGTGGCAGCAATACCCTTCCATACAAAACAACACCAAAAATCGAAATGTGACATTTTAAGTTTATTTCAAACAAATGTGAAAAGTCTGTACAATGCCCCTGTTAAATGTCACAGATTTCATGTCTGTAATGTCACTGAGCTACAACAACTTACATTCCCCCAAAAGTGAAATCAATACAACTACTTTGAACCTGGATGGCTTTACAGATTCATCAATTTCAAAGAGTGCGTTTGACTAAACTCAGGGGTGCCCAAGCTTTTTTGACCGAAGATCTACTTTTCAATCAACCAACCTCCCGCGATCGATCCGTTACCGCGCACGCGCGCATACGCACGCACGCACGCACAGACGCATGCCATGATGAGCAATAGCCTGACGCTGAGGAACACGATGCACTTTTGCAGCCTGTTAACGATCGTAGCTCACGCGTACCATTTTAAAATGCTTCTCTCGGCCCTCCAGATTCCCATTCTTTGGCCCCTCTGTGTGAATTGTACAAAACAAACTCTGAATGAGAATAATGATAACGATAAAAGATATAGCGCAACAACTCAGGTCCCAAGCTGCAACTGCATACTGCTGAGCGCTAACAACTTCCAGTGACGCAGTTACACGTCACTGTAGGTTAAAGACGACCTGCTTTATTTTCTTTTTAAAATACTTTTTGTGAAAGTGAGACTGATAGAATGATTAGGGAGCAGTGCACATTAACACAAAAAATATATTACTAACATGCACAGAGACACACATTTATTTATTTATTTTTTCCTTCCACCTCGGATCGACTTGGGACCAGTCCTTGATCTACTGGTCGATCGCGATCGACGTAATGGGCACCCCTGGACTAAAGTTATAGGCGGTACCAGATTTGTGTGCCCAGTTCTTTCTTCAATGTTTGCGATTTTACCTGTTGAGACATTTGTGCATTTTGTTTGGCAAAATAATCATCATTTGAAGAAAAAAACTGGCTTTCTGGACTTAAAACCGAGCATGGTTTTTAATCAACTGGAGTATATGGACCTTAACTATGTGCCAGTTACCAATGTTTGTTTGTTTGTTTGTTTGTTTATTTATTTATTTTTAAATCCATATTCATTGGGGGTAATTCAGAGTAATTTCTCACAAGCTGTTTGAGAATGTTGGCGTGGTGAGGGCCTTGTCCTCAGTTCTAGTTGTTGATTTGATTTTGATTTAACTTTTTATTTGGTCTCCCATAGGAGAAACTTGTCTCGTAGGACAGGCCCTCCTTGCTGCTACATGCATTGAACAATACATACACATACTGTACGCTACACAACAAGTTGTCTTGTATGTATGTAAGTAGAAATGGGGTTTCTTGCATGTTGCAAAAAAAAAAAACCCTAACAAAATAAACATTCAATTATCAGTTAGTCTTCTCTCATTTCTGACTCTGCGTCCTGTGGAATTGTTTGTCAATGCGCGCCACAGGAAGACCGCTTCCTTCAACACAATGAGGAGGGCAAAATAATAAAAGTCCAAATTTCCAAACCATGTCTGTTGTTTTTGTGGATACATTCAGTGCAGAGAACCACTTCTGGGTTTGCTCATTCATCCACAACTGGAGGGAGAGCCAATAAAGACACACATGACTGAGTGTATTTCCCATTTGAACTCTTCAGGCAGCAGCACCGTTTGAGCTTTGAGTGTTATTGAAGGAGGGAAAAACTGCTTGACCCCGCTGAACCGAGACCAATGCTCAACATTGCCAACAAGGGAGTATTGCAAACAACCCACTGAATGAAATGGTGCAACATGGAAGACCAACTTACTTCTGCAGCCATTGGAGAGATGCTGAAGTTTTCTGTGGGAAATGAAGAACCACTTCAAAGAGGAGTACAGTCGCTCAAAATCACATACTCCAGAAAGGGACAGTCTATCCGAGTTTGTTGTCTGCTTAACTGCACACATCCAATTCTGTTATAATTAATGTTGAAGTACAGTATATTATATTTGCACTTCACTGTTTAAGAAATGTGTTTAACCATTTAATAAAGGTGCAATTTTTATTCAGCTTGGAGAACCACTGCTCTTTTGAGTAGAAACAAAAACAGCAGGATGATTAGCTCTCCTGGCGATTTTCAGTTGTTGCAGGTGAGCAACTATTCATTCCCATTGTCACGGTTCTATTTGTGACCAACAGGTGGCACTGTAGGGCTCCACCTGCAGTGGCACACCTGTTGGTCGTTATGTAATTAGTTGTTTAAAAGGACTTCCGCACGACCACTCAGTGTCGGGTCATTGTTTGTTTCTTCTGTCATGTTTGTTTCAGTCATGTTTCGGTCACTGTTAGGTTTTAGCTTCAGTCATGATTTTTGTTTGATACTTTGGATTCTCTTTGTTCTTATGACTTTGTTATAAATTTAGTTTTCTCTGTGTTTTTATCAATACAACTCGTCAAGTACAACCTGCTCCTCCCTCCTGCCTGCTTTTTGGGGTCCTCCACCACCACGCAACATGACACCCATAACCCGTACACCAACAAAAACAAAACTCAGCGCGATGCGATATATATCTTTTGGAAAATTGTTTTTCAGTTGTAAATGGTTTAACATTTGGTAAATCACTTGGCAGCTGCAATGTATGTATCTCGCCTGTTTGCATCATATTTAACATCCAAACTCTTCATGCTTTAAGGCTCACTGTCCTCTTCTTTATTTTCTTCATCATACTCCCCTTTCTGCCGGGAACCGACAAGCACCAGCATGAAGGAGTCAAGCACAGGCAAACATGCCAACCATGTTACTACCAATGTTTGTTTCTTTGTTTGTTTTTATAAATCCAGAGCATACCCACTGAAACAAAGAGTGTATGTGGCATGTTTGTCACACAAATGTCCTGATAACAGGCATACCATGAAAGCTATTTCAAAAACAAAATGACTTGGTGGAAGTAGGACTTTATTTTGAACAATATTCAATAATGTTAGCAGTGTTTTACAATCCAAACCAAGTGAAAGTGGAGTTTCAAAGAAAATGGACTATTATGGAGGAATGTATACTGTAAACATGTAAACATACTGTATACAAAACTGTGGAATCAGAGTATCATGCAGTCTACTTTGGAAGGTACGCCATCAGCACCATACGTGAGGTCATCTTGAATCCTGCCAAGGGAATTTATTTACATCACATGTGGCGAGTGTCCACCCTTTCAACCATTTCACCGACCGTTACGTGCATTCCTAGGTGCTGCTGTTTTGGTCAGCAGTTAAGACATATATGTCCAGTAGTATCTGTACTGAGATCATTCTACTTACATACGGAAAGAGGCATGTGCCTGTATTTGTCTTATGTTGGATGACCAAATAGAGCATCTATTAGAGCAGGGGTGTCAAACTCATTTCACATGGTGGGCCACATACGGCCTCGGTAGATGTCAAGTGGGCCGGACCATTAAAATGATACAATACTTTGCTATAAATAACCAAAACAATATGTCTTTCCTTTGTTTTGGTATAAAGAAGCACAAGAACATTAGGAAAATGTTGAAATTTAATGAACATATCTTT